ATGGAGAGCTGGACACGTCTTCACACTCCCGCAAGTTATACATCTGAAAAATCCAGACAGCAAAAGTTTTGAAATTGTGCTCAATTGGCGGATGTGACTCGCCACTGAATAAAGTCACTGCCCACAACTACATACTGGCAAGTCGACTAGACACATAGTTCAACTTTTTCCCGACACTGCAACAATATGATACTCTCCGTCTACATACACCGTTTCACTGTACTTATAGTGCCTTGACCGTTTACACTACGCACGATTGAACCCAACGTATCGTTGTGATACACAATTGCATATAAAGCTTGATCATGCCTGATTTGGTGTGGGTAAGAATAAACTATTTATTTATTTATTCATTTAATTTTCTTAGGGTGGCACTTGGCTTGTTCGCCACAGAGATTCCATGTGATTGAAGCAAGCTCCCTGTTAGTTCGGAGACGTTCTTGATGTAGGGAAGCACTATCCGCATTGTTTGCTTGATCAGATGACTGCTGCTGTTGCTGAGGCATTCGTTTCTTTAAGCTTCTTCTGATGAAATTTCTCGAATGACCGCTCTTTCTAAACACTCGATATAGGTGCCTTTCTTCCTGTTTCAGAGATTCGACTGTGCTGCAGTGCGTTTCCACACTTTGAAACAGGGTTTGAATGCAGCTCTTCTTGTGGTTCATCGGGTGGTTGCTGTGGTAGTTTAATATCTGGTCCGTATGCGTTTTCTTCCGATATACGCACGTTTCGATAGATCCGTCTCTATTCCTAGTGACCAGTACATCCAAACATGTCCGCTTGTTATCCGCCTCTAATTCAAGCGTAAATTTGATATCCACGAATGTGCTATCGAGCAAGTCGTGCGTCGTCTGTACTCTATTCCGTATTGAGATGGAAAACGTGCCGTCCACGTATCGTATCCAGAGTTTTGGGCTGATAGATGGTAGTGCAACGCACTCCAATTTCTGCATTACGGCTTCTGCAATGAACCCCGAACTTGGTGATCCCACGGGGGTTCATCTCAGTTGTTGGTAAACATGTCCATTAAAGCGGAAATAACTGGTCAGACAAACGTTCAGGAGTTCCCAAAATCTTTCAGGTCGGATGGTTGTCGTGGGGCTTACTTGGTGCTCAAGCAGTTCCAACATGCCTACTAGCCAGTTGGCATCAGCCTCTAGCGGACATGGTTTCGATCCTCATTAGAGGACCGATAGAATGCACGGTAATGACGAGCCCCAATTGGGCGAAAAGCGTCTGGCGCTTTTCCGGACTAGGCTCTGCTATTTAGCTTGTGAACTATTGGGATGAAAACCTTATCAAATAAAGAATTTACCTTGCTTGTACTAGGATGCGGAACAAATTAGCGGTGTAACCATTTTACTACTAGGTATGAATGTTGGGGTAGTCAGGTCCCCATCACAAACAGGATTGCGATACTGTGCAATCATTTCGAAGTAAGTTAGAAAGCTATCTCGACCTAGACGCCAAATTAGCTATTCATTAGAGATCTTGATAAAGTCACGTGTGTGTATTACCGCAATTGCAGGCAATGTAATTTGCTCACATTGTTTATCACCTACTCAAACTGCTAAAGTACATCCTACAATCGCGCGAAACAAACATTCGGTAAATACCATGCATGATCAGAGGCAAATTTAAGAAGATTGTTTGATATTGCTCTTGTATGATTTGTGAAAGAATAGTTACAGATTCCCACTTGCTGAAGAATATATCCATTATTAGCTTTTTGTTATTATTGTATTCTGAGTTCGGGCGACTTGAAGGGCTAATACTCTGATCCCGCTGACATGCATTGCGGAGTTCCACCAAGGTCGGTGTTTGGGCTACGCCTATACTTGATCTTCATCAACGATATTGAAATTATCATCTATTGCATTTTCCTGATTTTGCCCATGACATCAAGTAATGGATGGTGATCGGTAGTCAGGAATATCAAGATCTGCTTCAACTAGAGTGAGATCGCGCTTGTAAATGTCCAAGGGCAAACCAACTTTGGTTCAAAACAAGCAAGTGTAACACAATGCATGTTCCCCACAAACTGAGGAATGGATATAAGTTTGGAGATCACATCATATAGACTGCCTCACTGGCGCTCAACGTATTGGTGGGAACGGTATCTGGGAACGGTATCAAACCACGAAAGAACATGGTCTGTTATAAGGGCATTAGGGCAGTTTTAATCCTCCAGTTTCCCGCAGATGCTCAACGCATGTGTGATGCGCCATGTAGAGTATATGATGAATGCCTGGCAACCCTGGGGAAAACGCGATCCGGTTTGCGCTAGATACCCCACATCGAAGAGCAAACAAATTTCGTAGAGCAAGTAAAATGCGAAGAGTTTGTCCCACGTGCAATACCATATGACTAAAAGCGCTGTGCATGTACAGCAGAAAGTTTTGCTTCTCACGGCTCGACCTCATTCCGGCCCACATGATATTAAAACCCATATCACGCTTGCCGTCACCAGAAACCTAGCCGAAACACAAAAGTAATAGTCCCTAGCTGTAACTAGCCATACAATACGGTCAGTTGGAATGCCTCCGTGATTATTTGTCTCATAGAATGTCTTGTCTATGAAATGCTCTGTGGAATTTGGTTTTCTCTGTGCTAAGAATTCCATAATTAAAACCACTGGCAGATATAGTACGCCAGGTACATAAACTGATGGGATTCCTGTTCATCGAGTGACCTCAAGACTCAGGCTAAACTTGTGCTCACCAACACCAGGAAACCGAGGTAAGCGGATTTAGTGTGCATGGGGTGATGAGTTTCCAGTTGTTTGTTTTACCTTAGTGCCACTTGTGTAAACCTATGTAATTCACAGGAACCAACTTATAATAAATGCTAGGCCTTTGCTTTGCTATTCGTACAATGCCGTCTTTTCATATTTCCATTAAAATTCAGCTTAAATTTTGCATTTTCCTTCCAGCTGGCTCAACGCTGTGTAAAAATCAGTTCAGTTTACAGAGTAAGACAAACATTATTCTACGGATCGAGTGCACACCACGCTGTCAAATAGTTTGAAAAGTAACAAGGATTTTCATTAAATAAAAGGCCTTTTCACTACTGAATAAAACAAGTTAATCCCCGAATCTATTTGATTAATATATTACATAGCGGACTAGACTGTTATACTAAGTTTATAATAACTTATTGTTGGATGGGTTGGTGTCACAGTTACTAGCGCAGTAACCACTCCCTTCCATGGTTAGGCTATAATTTTATCTGGATTGACCCAAGGGAAAGGCAGCACTCACTACGGTGATGCAATGAGATATTTGCTCCACGCACCATCTCTCAATTTCGTACATTGAAAATACCTCACTAAATACATAGCGCTCTCAGCATTACGAAATAGAGAAGCCCAATTAATAACCTAACTCGGTGGTAGCTAGTCTGCTTCTAAGCCACGCTGACACACCGCCAGACAGGATGTGGACGTTCGAGAGGAACCTCTCGATGCACTATTCCGCATGAAAGCATGTCCCAAGGAGACAGTCCCAGGGCTGATCGAATTACTTTGCTTCATATTTATGAATCAACTCTCTCTTTGGCTTGTAGCTGTTGGAGCAATGTACCCAGTTACTTCAATTAGTCCATTGCGCTTTTTTATCGGCCCCACCCATTAACTTATCTCTTATACCTCGTGCTTGATTTCATCGCATGGCTTTCTTTTGCTTTTAAACCTCCATTCCGGAAATGGCGTAGCTGACCGTAGGACTTCCTAAACATTCAGTGATCTATATTTGGTACACATCAGTAAATACTTGAGTAGGCACTAAGCAGCGCGTTTAGCAATGCATGGAAATAAGTTTCGTTTGTTTAATTATTTCTCCATCATTTCATCCTCAATATTAAAACTTCCGTTGCCCGGCTGAGAAAACCCTAAATTTTCACCTACATGTAAAGGCTGGACCAAGCTTAACTCACAAAACCACGCAACAGAGCACCTCTTGTTTCATACACAAAATCCGCATCTAGATCTAGTAACTTATAAACACGTTATTTGCCTTAACTCACCACTATGTGTTTACATAAGTCGGCTAATGCAGGTGAATCTTTGACGGTTGATATGCACCTACATTGATAAATATCCATCCCACCTTTTTCCATTTCTTTCGCATAAAAGTAAAATTGCACCAAGTGTAGACGACTTGGCCAGTGTTACCCGAACCAATTCAGGCACAACTATGTTCTATTCGTCTGATAGTGTTTAATGACTTCAACTGCCTCAACCCCCTTCACGTTTCTTCCGCCTCCAGGGTATCTTCAATCTGCACCGGAAACAAAATCTGAGAAACATCGTATTCCGATAGGAAAAGAAAGTGAAATCAAAAAACCATCTTCCAAAACGCACCCACTGCATCTTCGCCTAACCCACAAACATCGAAATGCGCGCATGCGTGAGCAGGTTGCACATGTAAACACGATCCACCCGCTTTAAGCATGGTCTCGATAGCAAGAGAATTATACATTACTATTGGAAGTTTTCCTTCTCCTCCGGGCTTATCTTAGGTTAACTATACACCGACGGCCCATGGAAATCAACTAAATGAAAACAGATCTGCGCCATAATTATTTTATGTGCTATAATAACCTATTCCAAGAATTGTACAGACTATGTTAAATTAACTCGCCTTAACCGAACTACACGGGTTGAAATATCTCGGATGGACGTTCACATCAGATCATGTGTTTCGCATTCAATTAGGGAACGTTTACCAACGTCTTCCGAATGGAACGCAAAGACACCACGAGAAAGCAAATAACTCTGTCTACACAATTAAAACAATCACTCGGAGATGTTAATTCAGGGCGTTTGCTCTGCTCTGAATTAACCCCGCGCGCCATCTCACCGACAAATTAAAATAGTGTAACGATGGCTACGGGAACATGTGACTACAAATAATTGTTTCCTCCGCATGCTCTCGATACTAGGTGTCAAACGATGGGGCGAATATAAATTCAGGCTGCTCAATGGAGCTCTCTGCGTAAAGATGACGGGCCTGAAGAATTGTTTAACGCTGCTGTTGGTACTCGGTTTACAACTCAATTCCATTCAATCAAGACCGGTACCCGGTGGTCTCAAGGATATTTTGAACTCCTTTGGCAAATGGATGCAGAAATCGCAGACAAATGCACCGACAGAGAATGGGCTGACAACCGAGTCAACACGAAAAGAGACCGCGACCGATGAATCGGTTGGCCGTGCGAAGGAGTCGTGCAGAAAATGGAGGTTCGCAACAACACCGGTTACCACCACCGTTTCCTCGTCAGTAACCACACATAATTTCGCGCCGGTAGAATCTGGTTCTCAACGGGATAAACACGAACACACAACCAATGTACCGGAACCCTACTCAACTACTGGGTTAACTGACACCACGCTTATCTCATACGACAATTCCACTGATACGGATGAGAGGACGACGGATGCTACTGAAGTAGTTACTCCCGCTGCAGAGTCAAATCCCTGTTCTGAGCATTTGAACTCCACCGTCCATGACGTGGGCCCTGGTCTCTTTGAGTTACTGCTTCGATTGTGTAAGGTTGTCAGCACCCAGATACATCAGTCAGCATACAGATTGAAACAGCTCGTGTTTGGTTTTGGTGGGGAACGCGGAATGCGGGTGGAGTTAACACAGTTGAATTGATACTGCCTAATGCTATGTAATGATTAATGTCTAGCGATCGCAATATAACTGCTTCGTTTTCGGCTGCTGATTGTGTTTTGTTGTGAGGCGTATTTTCAGGAAGGGGTTTTATGTGGTGGGTACAATGACGAGGACTACCTGTGCGTCAATCAGTTAATGGGATGTGTCCGAGCTGATCAGTATGTAGTGATTGTGAATTAGATGAGTATACCACCAGATGTTGCGGACGGACTATTTCATCGTGGTGAATTGCAGACCGCACTTCTGCTGAGTTAGTTTGCGATATATTTTGATTAACTGGTGGCATTGAAAGATTGTTAGAACACGATCGATGGAAATATGAGAGTGAGGACACATTCCCAATATTTGAACATTTGTAAGAGTAGCTGAAATAAACCTGGTCCGAAAGCCGATCACCTCCACGAAAACATTGGGTGGTAATTTTGCATTTTATTTTCACCTGGCCTATCTAACTTGCCTGTTACATCCCCATGGTTGGTGAAGGTGCGGATTTGTTTAATTGACACGTAATCACAGTAGATAGGGAAAGGCGGTCTTCTCAGCGCAGCATTTTCCTAACTGATACTACTAAGTGTTTTGAGTAGGTCATCGGTTTTAGGAGTCTTATGGAATATACAAGGATTTGACTGATATCCTAAGCTGAACTGGTCATACCGGCGCCCACTTCCATATAAACACTGGCAAGTCAAGTGTGCGCAATTGCTTAAGTTTAGTTGCGACGTATTCCAGATGAATCAGTTAGGTAAATTAAACACCTACTCAAATATATATCTTCTATATCGTTCCCTAGGCAAATGTCCAGCACGCAACTTATGATAAAACTAGGAGTTTCATTTGGTTTTATTTTACTTCGAATTCGATTTCAATGTATGTCCAGCTTCGTAGGTCAAGGAGAGGATGTTACTTCGCTTCGTTGTCGGTCCCACTGGGCCTCAGGTAACTGCGCGGCATTTTTAATACTGCTGATTATACGAGAGCAAATATAAAGGGCAACATTTCCCGAGGATCAGTGGGTTAAATACGTTAAGGTTCCTCTGTATGATCATCAAAGCCTTTCTTCGAATTCTCTTCACTTTTCGAACAGGCTTCCCAAAATCCCTTACATATCCCACGTGGTCAATTTCAACATATTTATCGCAGTGTCCCAAACCACCATCCATTTCACAGAGAACCAATGTGCACTCTACTCTGAGCAAATTAGGTATCTTTCACGTAGGTATTCTGTCTGCAGTTAAAGCGGAAATGTTGTCACCGCGAAGGGAAATGAAATTATGGGCTAGACTTCATTTTATCACAAAGGAATAGTATTCATCGCGGAAAAAATATTGCTTTGAATTGGTTATCAACTTCGATTTACTTATCTCTAAGTTGCTTTCCAGGTTTCTAGTTTCAACTCTGATTACAAATAAAGACGCTGATGTTTGAAAGACAAAAGTGAACAGCTGTTCAGGAAGGAAGAACTCAACGGGTGCTTCAGCAGACCACAACAATGTTGTTGGTTTCAGCGCTCCACTAATTTGACCTCGTTGGCACGACGGCAACCGCGGTATTACATCAAATAAGTCCCGCTGCCCACTGTCAACCATTCCGCTCTCAAGAAAGTGTTTGCACTGTTTTGCAATTGTCCAAGACGTAGCATGGCTGTCATCCACGTACTCAACCGATAGTACATGCAGCTGAGTACTCTGCTGTAGTCAAGCTAATTGGTAATTATCTGCATCGCTTGTCTCGGGCGATGCCATTCCGTGTTCCTAAGATAAACAATCGTCGCTATGCGCCGATTCCCTTCCGATGTAACATACTAAGACACTGAAATAACATAGCCTTTGAAATTACCTTCTTCTTAGCCTACCCAGAAGAGTAGCCATGTAAAATACAATTTCTAACGGGCACCTTTGCGCTTTCGCCTTCAATCCCCATAATACTTGCATTTTCATAATCGCATATAAATTCACGTGGCCCATTGACTTATGATAATTTGCTGACTTGCATCACTAATGTACGGAGCGGAACATAAAGTGTCGATATCATGATAAACGCAAAGCAGCTAATTGTCCGGAATATTCAGTTGCCACGGAGGTTTCTGGGCGATTCCTCTTCAGATGCATGATGAATCACGGTCACACAGGGACACTGGTTAAGGGTGTAAACCATATTTCAAACTTTAACCCTTTTATGGGTACTGTAAGTAGCTAAGTGCTGCTAACCTGTGTTTCACGCCTTACTACTTGTGATGTGGCTGAAAGCTGGGACGAACTGATTCGACAGCCTCAGGGCTGTCGCGCACGCGATCGATCGGTTGGGCGTGGGCTTGTTAATAACACAGCTAATGACACTTAAACTCAGATTTGTTAATAGAAGGCTAGCGTACAGAATCGGTGTTAGTTCGTTCTCTCGATGCGGCTGGTATACCCAAGCTAGTGACATGGTGGCAGAGAAAAAGAATAACCCGATGAGCAATCAGCAGCTGGCTACCGTTTGTAGCGATGTCCATTCCAGTACAGATGACGGAGTGTTTGCTGCTTGAAAATTGGTGCTTGCGGAGAGCGAAATGGATGAACTTCGCTTGACTCATCGGGTTGGATTGATATCATATCATATCGGGGTGATGCCCCTAAGACAGTCCTGTACTTCGGCCCAGGAAACCGCGTAGTTTCACGCCCACTGAGGTACCATGGGTGGATGGCAATACTGCTTTCACCCTTACTATGTCTACCGACTTAACTGTCCCTACTCCTGAACTTCCGCCAAAAGAACGTCCCATGTTCCGCTGCTCAGCTGCACCTTTGTCTTCCCTGGACACCATCAACAACAGCTCACAGATGGCGTCTGACAGAGTTCTGAGTCAAACGTTTGGTCTGCGTTGACAGGTGGTCACAGCGTCCTTATATTCAACCGAAGCACAAGCTTTCCTTCTTCCTGTTTCTACATTCAGCATTGCAACTGGCAACGTGCGCACTCTGATTCAGATCGGACGAAAAGCGTGTCTGGCCCACACCCTTGTTACACTCTCCGTGGACATCTGTCGCCTTTCCGAAACCAGGTTGTAAGACGCCATTACCGTCATCAGAATGATATCTCCGGCAAACTCTGACGTCAAATAACACTTGCACTTTCCGGAAACGCAGAGGCCACCGCATCTGGTCAAGCTGGTGGCAAGGTTGCACTGATTGACAACGCTTGAGGACGCTTTGATTGAGTGGATCCCAGCCAACAGACGGCTATGTTCAATCAGATTAATATGCTTAGTAATTTAACTAAGCGTCCAGAAGTTACGCACGCCTTATTTTGTAATCATCGCCTACGCTCGTGCAGACTGTAGCATGGATGCAGTCAAGGATTGCTTTTACCAACGCCTACAACGTCTGACGAGGTGACCTTCAGTAAGTACAACTGCGCATTCAGGAGGGCACTCATACGCTTAAGACGTGGTGCGACATGTGACTGGTGAATTTCTTAGGAAAATGTCAGTTATTATGTGCCGTCTCTATTTGTTACCCAAAGATATATCGCAAACGTTTTGTGTACAACGGTCCACACCTGATTATGAAATCAAATGTTCATGTACCTTCAACATTTTTGAAGAGATTGAAAACCAGATAGCACGCGTCAGAAAATCCGTGTCCAAAATATATCATAGACACATACAATCACAGTCAGATTTGAACTAGACAAATTCATTGCTCCTCCTATTCTGGAGTTTTGCAGCATAATCTGAAGAAATATGAGCAAGTCATGCGGAACATTTATAGAAAATGTTCAACGGTAATTCGCTATACAGCTATTGAAAATATTTCTTTCTCGAACTATCTAGAGTGATACCAGTAACTCCAACTCAAATTCGCTTCGGCTGCAAGGACTGCAAGACAACTTGATACTGCTGTACAATTTGATTCGGGGCAACGCACATAGCACCTATCCACCTTAACATTTCATGACCGTTGCAAACGGCACTTAGGTAACAAATAATTTACAATGGTTATAACACGACGTAAAACAAATATGCGGTCAAACTTCTTTCTCCAAGAAATACTACGGCAGTATTCAATAATCTTTTAGTCCTCGCAGCCGAAGCGAATTATGGTGGATTTATTCTCTCCGCTCAAGAGAGAATAGGATAGAAAATTTCCCAACAGCTGTTTAGTAAACGACCGTTGAAAGATTTCCATGCATGTTGCGTCTGACCTTCTCATATTGCTGCAGACCATGGTGCAATACTCCAGGATAGAAGAAGTAAGGATTTTATCTAGTTCAATTTTGATGGTGATTGTATGTATCTACGATATATTTTAGATATGGATTGCCTGGCGCATTCCATCTGGTTTTCAATCTCTTCGGAAATGTTGAAGGTAAACGAATATATACCTATATATATATATATATATATATATATATATATATATATATATCAACATCTGCAATCACAATGACAACTTGCGTACAGAAATAGTGTCATCGCGTTCATCGCGCCATAGGAAATGAGGATTTGAGTAAAGGAAAAAACAATTTCTTCCATTGTCCCAACTACAGAATTAATATCTATTGTTTTGGCGTATGAAAGCGCAATCTCAGCAACAAGCTGTGGTATTGCACAGCGACTGACTTCACTTTTAAGTTTAGAATTTCAAGGATACTAACGAGCTGCAATCCGCATCCTTGGGACCTCATCCAGAAATTCAAAAGAACCAACTGAGACCATCTGATTTGGCAGATTGTATTCCTGCTTCACCAAGTTGTAGGCTGTCCACCACACCGCATCCTCCAACCCATTTCATTGACCGCGAACAATGCATGACGCGCTAGACCTTGATCAGGAATACGCAGTATGTGTCCAAGCCATCGTAGTTGGTGCTGCGAGAAACGCGCCTCGAGGGAGTGGCTATCACCACCCAAGACACGCTCACTGACTTTAGCATTGCTTAAGGGGTTCAGCAACCACACATGGGCCATGGACCGCAAACAACGGTTCTCGAAGACATACAGTCGACGTAGGTCATCAGAACAAGCAGACCCATCTCGCAACCGTATAACACCACAGCGAGGACA